GTGATCTGGATAGATCACTTGTATTAAACGAGCAGCGCCTCCCACTGTACTTGCCAGGCACCCAAAACTGCATGTTCCGGGCATCGGGCAATAGGGATTCACTCCATAAGACGCACACACATTTCCCCCACTTTTTGGGGGGCGTAAAGTGCATCTTTATGGAGCGAAAAGTACGGTATAAATAATTTAACATAGAAAAACTGTAAATTAATGGCCTTGGTGAATAAAGAAAATTACTAAAATATTCAGTAATTTTCATCACTGTGGTTTTTCTGCCTTCCCAGTCTAAGCATCATTTAAGTGTGATCCTTGTAACTTGTGCAGTTGATGGTGAGATAGCAGTAACAAACTACTACTGTAGAATAGTAGTGTTTGAAGACAGTTGACTTGATCGGAATTACACCGTGAGGATCTTTGAGAAGTTTATTTCCAAACGGTGAAGATCTTGACAAGAGTGAACACCAAGATAGGTCAAAAATCATAGTATGAACCTCTACAGCAGTACACGTGGATGGATAAGTGCCATGTCATGGCACTCAGGAATGGTGTTTTTCACTGAACACTGCATTTTAGAAAGGCAGGGAAGCATGCATATGTGTCCCATACCTGGTATATACTGTGAACTGCTGCACTCTGTATATTATCTTGTACATTACATACACTGGACCACAGTTTTTTTTAAATGCTTTATTGTAAATTACATACTGCCACACCTATATTGTGCTAATTGCTACATACCCTAGGCCACTGCATCCCCTATGGTGCACGATACATTCCATAGCACCAACTGCTGCACTTTGTACATTGTTAAAAAATTTACGGTAAAAATTTACTGTAAACAGCAAGACATTTGTCAGGTATTCTGAATTTACATTCACTGAACATTTCCTACAGTCCAGCTCTGAAAATGAAGCAAGAATAAGGAATGGTTGCTATGGATGGAAACAAACGTCCTTGTTAGCACACTTTTTGTACATCATCCGCTAGAGACCTGCATAATCTGCTGTTTGTATCCAATTTAATAAAATTACATAGCTGAATTGTATATTTTTATCCCCAACAATTGTCTTTGCTTTAAGCATATACTAAACAATACCATTACCCAGTGCATACCATTGGGCAACAAAAACAAAAGAATAAAAGCTAAACCTGCATGGCTGAATCCAAAGGTAAAACAACATATCATTAAGAAGAAACTGGCATTAAACAAATATAAGATGGAAGGGACCGCACTAAAAGAAATGCACTAGAAAATGTAAAACTTCATTTAGAGCAGCTAAATTAGAATACCAAATATGTTTTTGCCACAGCAAAAAAAAACCCAAACCAAAACATAAACAATAAAAAGGTAAGAAAGGAATAGGTGGGTCCCATAAAAGAAGAATGTGTGAGGTTGATTACAAATGACAGGAGGAAGGCTGAAGTACTAAATGCATTCTTCTCCACAGTGTTTACTTGGGAAAGCGACAAGCTTAACAAACACAAAAGTAATCTATGCAGTACTGGGAGGAAAATACCACTGTGGTTGACCGTAGATGGGGTTTGCCGCAGACTAGAAAAACTTAATGGGAATAAATCCTCAGGACCAAATTACTTGCACCCACGGGAACTTAAAGAGCTAAGCATGATAACAACAAGGCCATTGTTCCTAATTTTTAAGGACCCCATACTGACTTGGGAGGTACCAGCTGATTGCCGTAATGCAACTACCAATTTTGCAAAAAGGTTTGAGACACATACCTGGGAATTATAGACCAGTCAACTTAACATCTATAGTATGCAAGTTATTTGAGGGCAGATAAAGGACCATATTCATGAATATGCTGTTGGGCTTGATACCATAAGTGAAAACCAACATGGCTTCAGGAAAGACCGTTCATGTCAAACCAACCTATTAGTGCTCTATGAAGAGGTGAGTGGCAACCTAGATGGAGGAAAGCCAGCGGACGCAGTGTACCTTGAATTTGCAAAAGTATTTGATATGGTACCTCATAAACATTTATTTACAAGCTTCACTCTTTGGACATTGATGAAATGGTGTGTACTTGGATAGAGAACTGGCTAAGTGAGGGGTTTCAGAGAGTATTAATAAATGGCGCTTTTTCCAACTGGTCCTCGGTTGACAATGGCGTGCCACAGGGTTCTGTCTTGGGGCCATTACTGTTCAACCTGTTTATCAATGATATTGCGACTGATATTAATAGCAATATTTCAGTGTTTGCTGATGACACCAAAATCTGTAGGGTAGTATACTCGACATAAGACATCAATATTACAGGAAGATCTGGCTAAAATAGGGAGGTGGGCATGTGCCTAAAATACACAGCCAAGGTACTCAATGGGCATTCCACTGGGGAATCAGAGGTGGAAAAAGAGAGAGTCCTAGTGGACATCCGCCTTGGTAACTGCATGCAATGCCAGGCTGCAGTAAATAAGACAAGCAGGGTACTATCATGCTCAAAAAAGGGAATGTACTGTAAAGACAAATCCATAATTCTGCCCCTTTACAAAACACTGGTCCCACCACATCTTCAGCATGCGGTTCAGTTTTGGTCAGCAATCCACAGAAAGGATGTCCTTTGAGCTGGAGAGAGTCCAGAAAAGGGCAACAAAGCTAATAAAGGGGTTATAGGGCCTTAACTCAGAGGAAAGACTGCATGCATTAAACTTGTTCACTCTTGAAAAGAGGAGACTGAGAGGGAACATGATGATAATGTACAAACTGTTTAATGGTGATGTGATAATCAGTAAAAAAAACTGTGAACAGCGAAGGGGGTTCTTTACTGTGGGCGCTGTAAAATTGTAGAACTAACTTCCTCAGACAGTAACAGCGGTATCAGCGAGGAGTATTGAATCATTCAAGACCCACCTAGATACTTTTCTCAGTGAGCAAGCCATACAGAGGTACAAGTAATCTTGGTAACACAAGCACACACACACACACATAGACCCCCTCCCCAAAGGTTGAGCTCGATGGACCTATGTCTTTATTCAACCTTAACAGTGTAACTTGCATATGGTGATAAAAAGTTGTGGGTCTGCAAAACATGTCATAAATAGTTGACTTTTCTTTTATAGTTTTGAATAGAGTAGGGAAGGGTTGTTCTCATTTTCAGTGTATATTTTGCTGTCTGTCCCTTAGGTTTTACCGTCATGTCCTGTCCCAGAGACATAACAGAAAGTGAAAGGAAAAATCTCTACAAAATGAGGGGAAATGCCCTCTTAGATTATTGCCACCAGAACACAAGTCACAACTGGAAGATACACAGTCTCCTCATGTTCTACTGACAACTGTAGAAGTTTGAATTCCACATCACTTCCTGTCGCTGTGACAGTGGTCACCATGGTAGAAAAAGAGGAAGACTCTTCTAAGGGTGACACAGGCATTCGGAAAATTTTTTTTAGGGGTTCTAACCCTACCCTGCCAAAACGTAAAAATATCGCTATACATACCCTTTTTAATGCTTTGTAATATCATGATCTAACATCTGGCACAGAAATAAATTCTGGTAGATGGATTAAATTTGGAGACTGGATGGGAGTGGTATGCAGAATTTCAGTTCCGAGATCTAATATTCTTATGTAAACACATTATCTAAAATTAAGATAAAGGGTTCAGATTGTTACTAGAGCCAAGTGTTTCTGCCTTACAGGAAGCGCAAATAAATCATGCCCCAGATGTTTCCTGTATATGCCTTTTTGTGTGTTATGACACATGGCTATAGATCTGTGTGACTGATTTCCTTTTGTGTTTTATAGAGCTACTACACTGCAAACAAAGAGAAATTGACTGTGGGGTGCTTGTATGTAGTTACGCAAGAGCATTATCTTGTGTGGAAAACTATCACCACTAAATAATAAGAGATTCATTATAAACATCTTCAGATTTCTATATACAGTATGCACAAGGTAGCAGGTGAAATATTTAGTACTTCATATGGATAGAAGTGGCTGTATCCGTATTTCCAGCTGGAAGAAAACCCAGGAGCAGACCCACAGAACCTGTTGGTGGCATTATCTTTCATTTGGTCTGGAAGCTTCATTGAATTCCCCTAAAATGAGCAAAGTGGCCAGACAAAGAGAATTCTGGGGTTGCCTGTTTAGCTCTTTATTTTAGAATTAGTTTTCAAATTAATGTTGGCCAAAGCAAGCAAGTTGGGTTCATTTTAATAGATTTTCTTAGCTGAAACCTGCAGGCTAGGGCAGCAAAGCTATCATCTACTTACTCTAGAGCTTTAAAAACTGAGTGTCACAACTTGTACTGGAGCCATTGCTGTATAGATTTGGCCCCCACATGGCAGAGCTACTGCAGGTTGTGTTGTGCATCAAGCTGGCTTCTGATTGAGTGACCTTCTTTGTAGCTTTGAAAGACTGTTTTTACAACTCAGATGTAACTATTACAAAACAGTATTACCCCTTAGCCTGCCTCCTTCCAGCTTAGATTATTTTTAGGCTGCTACAAAATACATAAAAATAAATAAATCTTCAGGGTGAATGTAAGTGAACCACGTTGCATCCATTACACTGAAATAATAGAAGCATTGATTTGAGTATCCAATATGAGTATTCGTGATCCTAGCTATATATTCCCATTTATTTAAAATGTACCTCCCAGGTACAGTAGAACCCAGGTTGGATAATGCTGGATCCTTGCAGTCAAAAGTGGTCACATCAGAAGCAGTAATTAATTGCCCTTGTAACTGTGTGTTACTCAGCTAGTTGATGCATAATTTTAGCACGGTTTGACAGGGGAGGCAGCATCCAACACAGAAGAATGGGACCAACATTAGTAAAAAAATAAAATAAATACTTGGGGTGTCCACCTTGTTTTCATCTGCCTAAACGTCTGCTTTAAAACTGATAATCACTGCTTAAAGCAATTTTTGGTATTTGTGCAGAGTTGAATGTAAGGACTTCAATATAAATCCTCAAATGTATAAACTTGCAGCAAAATACTAACTTTTTTTGTGTTTTTTTTTTCTTTTAGATTCTGAAGATCTTGAATGTATTTTATTCCCATCTGACACTTTAACATAAGTGCAAAGTGGCTTAGTGAAATCACAACCTTCACTTAAACATAAGAAACTTAGGAATTAAGCCAAGTATACCATGGAAACACTCTCCCAGGATTCTCTGTTAGAGTGTCAAATTTGTTTCAATTATTACAGTCCTCGAAGAAGGCCAAAATTACTTGATTGCAAGCATACTTGCTGTTCGGTTTGCCTGCAGCAATTGAGGGCTAGCCAGAAAGACCTTAGATGTCCTTGGTGCCGAGGTGTTACAAGGTTACCTCCTGGATATTCAGTATCCCAACTACCTGACGATCCAGATGTAGTTGCAGTGATTGCAATCCCTCACACTTCCGAAAACACCCCGGTCTTTATTAAATTGCCAAGCAATGGATGCTATATGTGGCCACTTCCTGTCACCAAAGAAAGGGCTCTGTTGCCTGGTGATATAGGCTGCAGATTACTACCAGCAAATCATCAAAAGCCAGTCACTGTGGTGACCATGCCCATGGAACAGCAACCCCTGCAAGGTACATTGGCACAGGATATTGCAGAGGAGGAACATGAGAGAAGGGGTGTTGTGAAAAATTCAACCTGGTCTGGAGTTTGCACTGTCATTTTGGTAGCATGTGTCTTGGTCTTTCTACTTGGAATTGTCCTGCACAATATGTCCTGTATCTCTAAGCGCTTCACTGTCATTTCATGTGGTTGAAATTGATTTTTCTTATACTTTCTGCCACATATATTTTAAAATAGAAGCAAACATACACAGGAGCATTGTATTATGAAACAAATATCAACTGCAAAAGGGTGGGAACTTCTTAACTTCCGGAGTTCTGGGGCACAAGAGAGAGACGTCCCAGCTTCGCCCTCTAACAGTTTGGTTAGAGTTCATGAAGATTGCATGCACAGTCATCATTCCTTCTTAAACAGGACTTGGTACATTTGACTGTAGGGTAGTATGATGACTTCTTAGCTCATTGTGGTATGGCCATATCCACCAGACGTTGATCATGCAACTTTTTCCTTGAGATTTAGTTCAACATGAGTATATTTAGCAGATCTCCGTTAATTTTTAAAGCTGGAGAAAGTCATCAGAGGTAACGATAGTCATAACTGAAACCAAGCAGATATCAAAACTTTATTTTCCCCAGTCAGTACATCAGTAAAATGTATCTGCGTACATCTCAGGTCTCCTTTTAACTGACACGGCTGTTATAGGAACATAATGTTTCATGGTACTTGAAACATTGTACTACCTTCAATTGATTGTCACATAATATCAATATCCTGCATTTTTTCAGGTGCCTATAAAAGAGAAGAGGCTGAATGTACAATATGTAATGTTAAGGTTTCAGGCTTATCTATGTGGCGCAAATAAAACATGGTGGTTCAAGTCTAATACACGATGATCAGGAATGGAAAAACTCATCTTCTTCCAATAAAGAGGATAGTAATGTTATACTGAAGTGTCATGGTTGGTGGATCATAGCACTTCGCATTAATTGATAGCAAGTGGTATGTGGAACAAGGCTTGGTTCTTGGTTATTAAATATAAAGTCCCTATTTTAATGAATCAGAATGATATAGCATTTTGTTGTACAATTGTAAATGTTTTTGTTTTCTAGAAATGCATTCCAAGGCCATAAGTAATACTTTTAGTTTGTCAAGTGTCACATTCCTAAGCCAATATGTATGTAATAAAATTGTTGTTTGTCCTCCGGTTCTCTATTTTATCTTAAACCCATCTTGACAGCTAAAGGAGATGGGCGATGGGTATCAAAGGTCATGTTTCTGCAATTTAGCGACAGAGGAAAAGAACAAAATGATAGTTTGTGGATGGATGAGTAGTAATTATTATGCTATTATTTTGTATGCCATTGTCTTTGTGATGCTGATCCATCGATAAAAAATGATTAACGTTGTGGGTTATAAAAATAGATGATCTGTCAACATTACAACTTCAATTTTTTTGTAATATTTTCTGCCTCATTTTATATTGCAGATTTACAGCTATAAAAAAAATATATATATAATGTGCCCGATCCCTTTTTGTTAAGTTTTTCTTCTCCTACTGTTTACTTTTTTTTTTTGCAAAAGTCATTCTTCTGTATATACTGAAGCTGTTAGCATAATTAAATATACCTCTGCATATTTATTTGCCTTGTATGTAGTACATTAAAGTGTAAATACTGTATTACATTTACTTAAATTAAAATCAACTAAGATTCCTACGGAGCCAATATAAATGAAGGATTTATGGTGCTGTGTTTTTCTGAGAAGTGAAAGCAAGGAAACAGTTGCTTTTTGGGGCAAATGTGTATGCAGTGCATTATTAGAGAGATATATTTAATCTAAGCCTGTGCATTGTCCATACTGGGGAAAGAAACAGGTTCACTTAACATGAGTGCCTTTTGTCAGGCACCGCTACCTTTCTCTGCACTCCTCTTCTGCCCAATAAATGACTCCTGGTATGTCTTCAGGAACACAAATCTCACTCCTGCATCCCACAATGTAGTGCTCAGTGCCTGACTGCTGGTCAGGCTGATTGTTGCCACATGGGGTAGAGGAGTAGCATGCATAGAAGACCTACACAAGATGTACCATACACGGTAAACTCAAGGGCATTGCTGTGAACCTGGGTAAGTCCTACCTGCTTAAAGTCCCTCTTGTAGATTAAACCTTTTTTTGCCCTAGAGGCAGAGAGTTAGTTATATAACATAAGCAGTCATAAGGCAAATGGGGCCAGGGAGGTTCAATTTCATTCCCTGCATACTGTCATGGTGCCAGCTTATTTCTAAGAGAACAGTAGAGGTGGAACACAGTTTCTAACCTCTCCAGTCACTTTCTCCTGAGAACTGTTGTGTGGGACTGTCTGATGTTGCCAAAAGTGGCAGACTCCTATCATGTCTGAGCACATTTATATTCATTTCAAAGTGCTCTAATTAAATGTCATTAGCAACTAATACCTTGGTAAACTAAAACTGAAAGGGGTCCTGTGTTGAGGCCTAGAGCCTCATAAGAGCAATGTTCAAACATCTCTAAGACAGTAATATAAGTACAACGGTTGTAGTTGTTGCAATCATCTTAAAGGGAACCTGTTAGAATAGAACTATGACAGCTATTGGTGACTTGATCCTGAAGGTGCTGGTTTAGGGGCTCTCATTCTCATTATTGCTTCACTGCTTATGTGTTACTGACCTTTTAGTAATCTTCCATATTTCTTTCCAACATGTTCCTTTTTAAAGTTCCTGCTGCTACCTCATTATTGCTAGTCACAATATTTACTAGAATATTACAATCTAGATTTGGGTTTCCTTATACTTCTGCTCTGTTGTAGGAATAACACAGCATTATACCTTTGCAGACTACCAATATTTAAAAAGTCAAGAGGCCTGTCTGCAAAGAAAAATACTTACATAGCTTCATTGTCTTGAGATAACCTCGGTAAAAAATACGGCATTTGTGGAGGTGGTAATACTTTATCCCCCTCTGCACTCTGGTGGGGGGGAGGGGGGGGGGCAGGGCAGGTATCCAATAAGACTGGAAGTGTCAGATGTTGAAGATTCGTTTCTAAGATTTTCTCTTCAAGACCGCAAAGTTTTCTAAATGGGCCAGGCCCCTTTGTTAGTTTTTTGTTTGTTTGTTTAACAACAACAGTATCACTTCAGAAAAAAATAAATGTATGTATTTGCGAATTACAGATGTGTCTCCGGTAAGAATTTACTGATTTTTCTCATAATCAAAGAGTATCTCTTTAATCCATAAAGCAGGCTTCTGTATATTTGTTTATACTCTTCAAAAACTGCTGTGTTATAGCCTCTACTCTGTAAGAATAAACACATTATTTGAAGAAATTAACACAAATGATCTAATTCAAAGGCAAATACTGTACACATTGTGTAATGCCATACAATTGCTTAATAACACGTGTTCATTTTTTAAGTGTTGTGCTAGAGTCTAACCTCTTTCAAGCTATGGATATAACTCTGTTGCTATTAATTACGCATGTAGAGCTTTTGTATATGTTTCAGGGTATGCACAGACAAACATTGTTTTGTTCACCTGTTATTAAATTCTTCCATTTAGCTTGTATTTGTTTGTTTATTTATAATGCTTATTAAATGAAACAAGTAAAACTATTCATAATTCAGGTCATGCATGCACCATCTGCCGCATATCACGAATGGAATTAGAATAAAGTAGCAGGGCCTCTGGGCTTCAGCTGCGCTCCAAATAATTCCCAGTGGGTTTCCCAGTACTAAAATGGAACTTAAAATTAATATGAAATCCAGATATGTGTCAAGATTTCACTGAATTACAAACAAAAGGAGAAAGAAAAAATATTTGGCTAGGCAAGTTGAAAGTGCAAAAAAAAAAAAAGAGAGGGGGAGGGAGGGAAATATGGTCCGTGCCTGTTTCTGATGTTTTCAAATGACCCAGGGCCTTGACATTCTTTCACATGAACTTAAGTACATTTTCAAAACAAACACATTAATATATACAGGAAAACCAAGCAACTTTAGAGATATATTTTCTGCCTTTTCTTGTGCTTTAAAGCAAATCTATGGGTAAAAACATTATAAACCCTTTGCAGTGGGGCTACCATCACACTGCAATGATTAACTGCTCATTTGCGTCTATGGAGGAAAAGTTATACTAACCCAATCTTCTGAGCCAGATTGCGGTTAGACCAATCCTTCCAGGATGAGGAGTGAAGGGATCTGATGTTGGGAATGGAACTGTGGATATAAAAGGGAGAGATCGAGAGGGAGGGTGCATGGTGAGACAAAAGTGGACAACAGGGGGAATGTTGGAGCAACTGGTACTGGGGAAAGAGCAATGTTGGGAGGAGTGAAGACATTGAATGACCGGCTGGAGGAATGAAACAATAGGAATGTAAGGGTGTCTAGACCGAGAACAGGAAATAAGTAAGGCTGGGGATGAAGAAATTACAACTGCAGAAAGGTAAATGAAAAAGCAAGGAGTGGAAAAGAAAGCAGTTGGCATAAATAAATGAATAGTGGCATATTGGAATCTGCTGGGTGGATAGAAATGAGAAGTGGATGATGAGTTGGCTGTATAAAATTTGCCAAATGAATTATGGATGAATTAAAATAAGTGAAGTGTTACAATCACTAATGTCACTTCCCTCTACTCTTAACATTTCACATGACAAAGGTCTAGAAGATGGAAATTATTTTCTGGATTCAGAAAACAAGTTGATTTTTATAGCAAGTTATCCATTTTATTCTCTCTTGTAATTAATTTTTGTTCGTAGACACTTTTGTTTTGCAAACAAGAGGTACAGATATTCCAAGAACTATCCCAAAGAAGGACAAGGACACTTTAAAAAAAAAAAAACTTGCCACCTTCCTCGTGTGTATTTTATATTTTTATATTGCAAATTAATTTGTATATTTGATATCCTTTTTATTGTGTGGTAGCACTAATGAAGGGGGAGTATCTGAACCCCTGAATTGCATTGGCTTTCCTTTCTTTTAATTGCCTATTGAATAAAACTTTTGACTCTTTCAACCATTGATGGGGAGCTTAGACTGCATTGTGTATATTTTAGGCTTTTTTTCTCCAGGACCTCTCTTTGGGGGTCTTCCTGTATATAATGTATGAAAAGACCCACCAAAGCTAATTAGCTTTAGTAATGAGATGATCCTTCAGGACCAATACCCCCCAAAATTCTTCCCTGTTTAAGGACAAACACTAAGCCAGCCACACTATAAATAGATATGGCCACTATGCAATATTAATTAAAAAAAAAACCACAAACATTTATTAGAAAAACATGAAAAATTGTACTTCTTAGTAGAAACACACACTAAATATATTATTTAAAAAATATCACCATGCTGTAACTTTAAAAATCCCCACAGTTCAAATATTATATATCTTTGTGTTCCTTCTTTGTCCTATAAAGTTGGTTACAGTATATCTTTGTAAGAGGAATCCAGAGGCTAAAAATCTCTATTTCTTAAAGTTAATCTTAAACATTCATCCCACACAATCATGAGAGCTCCAATTAAGGAAGACAAATTAGTATTGCATTAGTGTTTGAGCTCCAATAGTTCTGTTTACTCTCTCCATACAGATTTATAATTTTTTTCTTCCTGGAAAAGTGTACCGTCTGCAGATGAGAGGATTTTTTACTCTAAGGCCTATACTATTATCTACTTGTGACCAGGTGTTGGCATCCAGTAGAAAGGTCAGGAATCAAGCCATTTTAAAAAACACTTACTTTTGTATCTGCATACAGATTGATCCAAACAATGAGATTGTCCCCAACCATTGATCTGGAGAGGGTGGTACATTAGAAAAATAAGACAGGTTATTACACCAAATGCCACAGTTGGAATTTCATGTTGGTATTGTTATTTTTCAAATGAACAAAAAATATTATTTGCTGTGCTCTTGCAAGGAGTAAAGCTGAGTTAATAAGATGTTTGAAAACTACTAACTGGAAATTAAACAATTATATTTGCATTGACAGGTCATATGGTTCACATGCTAGACCCTGGTCAGTATAAAA